ATTTGTCCATTCATCCACTCATCCTGTCAATATTTGTCCAGGGCCTTCTACAACCAGATTTTAGTTCTGTGCTGAGTTAGACACGGAACCGAATCGACACTGTTCCCGCTCTCAGGGCCTTCACAGTCCATCTCAGGAGTCAGACGTTAACACGGCCACCATGCACGAGTCAGGTAGTTTTGAACTGACATGGGCAACTCTATAGGAAAGGCTGGTGGTGGTGGCTCTCTGAGAATAGTTAGGGAGGCTTCCCCCAGAGAAAGGGAAGCTCCAGCTGAGCTCTCCAGTTGAGGAAGGACTAACTAGGCCAAGGAGAGGGGAGGAAATTCCAACTAGAGAGACCGGCTTGTGCAAACAAAGGCCCTGTGGTTAGGAGGGACATGATACTTTCTGAGAACTGAACTGGCGAAGCTGGGAGTGAGGAAGAGAATAGTGCAAAATGAAGCTGGAGAGGATGGCAGGGCTGCATAAGGTCCTGAAGATGTTGCTCTGGCTACAGTGTAGGGGCAGGATGGGAGTGGAGGAAAGAGAAGAACAGAAGCACCAGGGAGGAGGCCATGGCAGCGTCCAGACAAGAGGTGATATGATGGTGGCTGGGATGGATGGAGAGAAGCTGAGGGCTGGCAGCTGAGAGGATGAAAAGAAACAGATGGACATGAGGAATGTGTGGGAACCGGAGTGACCCGGTGCTGTGTGGCCTGGCTGTGGGGGTCGGGGTGTGTCAAGGGTGGCTTCTAGCTCCCAGGCTTACATACCTGGATTGCCCATGGCGCTGATCAGGGAAGCAGGGAACAGGAATAGACCTGGCTTGGAAGGAGGATTCTGAGTCTCAGGTAAGTTGAGTCTGAGGTGCCTTGAGACATTCAAGGGAAGGCGTCCAGTAGGCAGTTGGACATGCAGGACAAGAGCTCAGAGGAGAGGGGAGAACTGGAGACAGAGATCTGGAGGTCCTCGGGGTTTGGCTGGCAGTGGAATGGAAGCCATGGGTGTGCCAAAATGGCCTAGGAGGTATGTATGGGGCGAGAAGAAAGAGGATCCAAGACAGAGCCCCGGGGGACTATTGATGTCAGGGGAGGAGAAGAACCTTAAAGGGCCCTGGAGCAGGGCAGCCTGGGAGGTGAAAGGAAAACCCAGTGTGACCCTCTAATGGAAGAAGTGTGGGGTTTCAAGAACTGGGGAGTGGGCCCTGGCTGGTGTGGCTCAGTGGATTGAGTGCAGGCGTGTGAACCAAAGGGTCGCTGGTTCAATTCCCAGTCAGGGCACATCCCTGGGTTGGGGGCCAGGTCCCTAGTAAAGCAGAGCGTGAGAGGCAATCACAAGATGTTCCTCTCCTTCCTTCCTCCCTCTCCTCTGTCTAAAAATTAGTAAGTAATTAAAAGTCTTTAAAACAAGGAAGAACTGGAGAATGTGCATTGTTGTCCGTGATGCCTAGTGGTCAAGTCACAAGGAGAAAGTGAGAGAAGACAGTGCTTTTAAGAATTTAGCCATGTAGGGGTGGGGAGCAAAGATGTATCGGCTACATCAGCTGCTTCAGATCATTTCTTTAACTGTGGAAACTTTTCCTTGACTACTGACCTGCAAAGGACATGAACAGGGGTGTGAGGTTATGGGTGCCCAGTTTAAAATCACATCAGCCCTGGCTGCTGTGGCTCAGTTGGTTGGAGCACTGTCCAGTAGACCAGAGGGTCACAGGTTTGATTCCCTGTCAGGGCACATGCCTGGGCTTTGAGTTCAGTCCCCAGTCTGGGAGCCTGCAAGAGGCACCAGCTGATGTTCCTCTCTCTCTCCTCCTTCCTTGCTTTCTAAAAGTACTGAAAAAATGTCCTCTGATGGGGATTAAAATAAAATAAAAACTGTATCAAAGAATACCTGCACTTGAATCAGCAAGACATTACCTGAGGCCAGTGGTCCGTGTTACCAGTCCTCAAGTAGAATTTGATTTCATCATAGGAACTTATATTACCCTTTAAACAAACAAAGAAGGACTTTATTTTTTTCAGAGTGGGAGAGGGAGCGAAACATCAATGTGTGAGAGATACATCAATCGGTTGCCTCTTGAATGTGCCCCAACCGGGGACCAAACCCACAACCCAGGCATGTGCCCTGACTGAGAATAGAACCAGCGACCTTGCGTTTTGCAGGATGATGGCCAGGCAACTGAACCACACCAGTCAGGGTAGGAGCTTATATTATCTGTTAGTGGCTTTTCGCTTTGTTATTCCACCTCTCTAGGAGAGGTAGGGTTCCATTATTTGTTCTTCTCCTCCCTGGAAGGGAGGGGGTGAGAGAAAGGAGAGAGAGTGGCCAATTTTAGTCAAATTTTTAAAAAAGAAATCTTTTAGAAGATGCTTAATATCCTCTTTGTCCTCTAGCCTCCATCTTCACAAACTTCCCGAAAAAGTTGTCCACACTTCCTCAAATTCCGTCTCTAAGCTACCTTCCCCTTCACAGACATTTGTCTCATCAAAGTTACCAATGGCCAACAAACCTAAGTCAAGATCCCCTGTGAACTTGAGGCTGTCTTTGACACTTGATCCCTTCCTTGGTGAAACTCTTCCTCCAGTCTGTCCCATTGCCCCATTCTCCTGCTTTCTTCTGTGAATTAAAAATTATCCAACCCTGGCTGGCGTGGCTCAGTGGATTGAGTGCTGGCCTGTGAACCAAAGGGTCGCCAGTTTCACTCCCGGTCAGGGCGCCTTCCTGGGTGGTGGGCCAGGTTCCCAGTTGGGTGACTGTGAGAGGCAACTGATTGATGTTTCTCTCCCTCCATTTCTCTCTTTAAAAAATCTTAAGAAAAAGTAAAAAAAAATTATCCAGACTTTGGAAACAGAAAAAAAGGAACAGGAAAAACAACTACACTGACATCCTCTCAGTGTTGTACCCCTACTCCAATGCTCCTGTTCCGCTGGGGACTGTCCGATTCTCTAGGGACGTGTCCCTTTGATTGCCTTCCTATTTAGCATTGATTCGGGTATTTTACAACTCTGTGAGAGTAGACATTTCACCTACAGACAATTCATAATGAGCAAATAATTTTTGTCCAACAACAATGAAAGCGTTTTCCCTCTGGTGGGAAAGGAAACCCCCATGGTCATAATTCCCTGCCTTGTGAGGCACCAACCTGCGTTGCTAAGTTCAGGTCTGTATCCCTTTGACTGACCAACTCTGTATTCATTCTCAGATTCTCTTTTGTAGTAGTCTGAATATCTAATCGCCGTCCTCATTCACAAATGAATAAATAAAAGCTTTGACATGGGTTCATTTTATTTGAGTCATTTTTTTTCACTGTAAAAAAATTATTCCTGTTGGCTGGTGTAGCTCAGTGGATTGAGCACAGGCCTGCGAACCAGACAATCGCGGTTCGATTCCCAGTCAGGGCACATGCCTGGGTTGCAGGCCAGTTCCCAGCAGGGGACGCAGGAAAGGCAACCATACATTGATGTTTCTCTCCCTCTCTCCTTCCCTTCCCCTCTAAAGATAAATAAATTAAAAAATCTTAAAAAAAATTATTCCTGACTGCTCCTAATACTGTGGGCCCCACCTTAGCAGGCCATGCTGAGGACAGGAAGGTGGTGTGGGGGTGAGTTAGGTGACTAAAAAGGGACCCCTGAAGGGCTTTCCTGATGGCCCGCTGGCCTGGCAAGCTGTGCCTCCTCCCCTTTGCCCGGCTCCGGCCTGCGGGCCTCTCAACCTGCTGTGTGGTCTGTGACTGTCATTGAAGCTGGTCATCCCAACACAAACCTTCTCTGACATGTTCTTAAAAACTCATGTAGATGCATCCCAACCCAATTGTGCAACTACTTGTTCCTTTCATCAAAACTAGCCCTCGAAAGAGCTCCAGCTGTGTTTATTTTGTTATTTGTCCCACACTCAAGAAACACGGATATACTGTATCCCTTCTGTTGGGTACCTGTAGCTATCTCATTTAACCCTCACCACTTCCTTTGGGGGGACGTAGCCCCCATATGGGGCATCCCATATCACTGTGGAAGGAACTGAGATTCTGACTATTAAGTGGTTTGCCCAAGGTCACACATGGTGTAAGAGCCAGCCAGCTTGAAACCCAGGTGTCTCTGATGCTGACCATGTTCTCCCTTGGTTTATAATTATCTGTTCCTCCATGGTCAGAGCTTGTAGGGCTTCTGAGAACCTAGGGTCCCATGTATCCTGTCCTGAGATGAGAAGACAGGCCCAGAAAGGGGGCCGGAACTAGCCCAAGTTGGTACGGCGAGGAAGGAAAAAACTGACCGGTGTAGCCCTCTGGGAGCCTAAAGGATACTCTGTCTTCCAAGCAGGCTCTTGCTAGAAACGTCTGCAAGAAACCATGTTCAGAACTTCACAGAGGATCAAGCCCTGGGGAGTCAGGAAAGTGCTGGCCTTTGGGCAGCTCACTACCCTCTTGGAGCCTCAATTTTTGTGTATGTAAAATGGCTAAATTATTCCAAAATTTGACAGAGACATAGGTTGGAAAGGCAAGTACATTATAAACTTACAGATTGCCCAGAGGAGACAGATCAAAGTTCATACTGGGCTCTAGAGCCACATTACCTAAGCTGATTCAGGTTTTATCCCTTAAATAGCCTGTCACTTTGGGAAATTTGTATGCCTCAGTTTCCTCGTATGTGAAATGGAAACACCAGGAGCTACTTCATAGGGTTATTGTAGGAGTCAAGCGCTTGTAATAGTCACTGGTAGGTAACAACCCCTCTGCGAAGTTAGCTTTTATTACAGGTTTACTGCTAGAGGCGTGGCTGTTTTCTAAGCCCAGACCACACAGATTTTCTCCAGGCCCCGCCCCCTCCAACAGGCCCCGCCCCGTCCCCATTCGTTCCCGCCTCCTTCTCCTCAGGTCCGGCTCCAGCCGGCCCGGGTTTCTCCCGCCACCAGGGGGCGGAGGCGCTGAAGGGGTCCTTCTAGCCGAAGCGGACGACGCTCTAGGTAGCGGAGGCGGCTGCTCTCTGGCCAGTGGCGGCGGCGCTCTAGCTAGCGGGTGCGCGGGGCGGGCTCTCAGTGGTGCGGCCGGCTGGCGGCGATGGCGGCCGTACGGGGCCTGCGAGTGTCCGTAAAGGCTGAGGCCTCGGCGGGGCCGGCCTTGGGAGTCCCGTCGCCTGAGGCGGGGTCAGGTTTGGAGCGCGGCGAGCCAGAGCCCATGGAGGTGGAGGAGGGCGAGCTGGAGATAGTGCCGGTGCGGCGCTCGCTGAAGGAACTGATCCCGGTACGGGAGGGAGGCGGGGGTCGAGGAGGAGATCGCTGAGCGAGCGAGTGCCCCGCGCTGGAACGGGCCGAAAGGGGAAGTGGCGGACTCCCCGGCCGGGGAAGGCAGGGGAAGGGGAGGGAGGGAGCCGAGCCCCCCGGGGGGCGGGGGCAGGGGCGCCGGGCAGGAGAGACCCGAAAGGGGAGAAAGGACGCAGGGGAGCCCGGAAATGGGTGTGAGGGGGCTGAGGGAGGTCGGGGAGAGCGGAAGGGTAGTTAAGGTCGCCCCCTTCGCTGCCCCTCTGAGCTAGTCCGTGCAAGGGGGTGAGTGAGGAGGGCCCAGGATCGTCTGGGGGCTCGAGATAAAGGATGAGCCGGGGCGGGAACAGAACCAGGAGCGGCCCACTAGGAACTGTCGGGTGGCGCCGGCATCCAGGTCTCGTCTCCGGTATCTGTTAAACGTAGCAGTCGGTTTCTCTCGGGAGGGCTGGACTTGACAGCAGTAGGAACTCGGTGTTCCCGTTGACTTGAGGGTCATCTTGGCCCCGCACGACTCCACTGCTGGGTAGCACCCATACCGTGGCCCACCATGCATCGACCTTTCATGAAATCAAAACATGAGCAAACCATCAACGAAGTAGCTGGCAGTGGTTCTTGGTCCGTATTTTGCCACAGTGGGGATTGTGAGAGGTGTTCTGCTTGTGGTTTGGTGGTCCTGGGTCCCGTTCTTAGGCTGCTCTCAGGCCTGCATGGCTCTTCTCCTGCACTTAATTTCTTGCCTAACACGAAGGAACTGCACTACTTTTTATCTCATCAGCAAGTCTTACTTTTAACCTGGAATGAGGGGAAAAGGTGAAGGTAGGATTACTAAAGATAGTAAATGATAACAACAATTAACATAGTATTTTTTTTACCATTTACTACATTACATCATTTAAATATCACTGAAGTTGTGAAGTATACGTCATCCCTCTATTCATTCATTTTAGATGAGATCGGGCGCGTTCAGGGTGGTATGGCCGTAGACTCATTCATTTTAACATCTACTGCATCTCCCACTATGTGCCAGGCACAGCCCTAGGCACTTGATCAAGATTAAACTTCCTCCTGAAGTTTATGTTTCAGGTGGGAGACAGAGGTAAACAAATAATTTTTGATAGTGTTAAGTATTCTTGACAAGAATAAAGCATGTTAGTGGGAGGGCAGGGAGGGAGCTGAAGGGGATAGGATGGTCGGGGAAGTCCTCTGAGATAGTGACATTTAAACCAAACCCTAGGTGATAAAAAGGAACCAGTGGTGTGCACTGTTCCCAGTAGGGGGCAACAGTAAGCCTAAAGGCTCTGAGATGCAATAAGATTGGTTGGTTGGGAAAACAAAGTTCTATAGCACAAATATGAGAGCAGTAAAAGAGGTCAGGAAGGAGGCAGATACCATGAAAGAAACCTAGGCCGAGACAGGCCAGTGGAACTGTAAAGTGTTGTATAATCCGTGAATGTCAGAGCTGCCATTGCAGCCTTGGGTTTCTGGATCCCACCCTCTGTTCATTGCACTGGGCTGTGTTTTCTGTAGGTCCAGGTGAGTCTGGTGGCCTGGCATGATGCATTTGGCTAGTCTGGGTGGGGGAGATAAGTGTCTGTGTCTCATCTTGGGTGTTTTTCTTTTTTAAAGATTTGGGGAAGGGAGGGAGAAAGAGAGGGAGAGAAACATCAGTGTGTGGTTGCCTCTCCTGTGCCCCACATTGGGGACCTGGCCGGCAACCCAGGCATGTGCCCTAGACTGGGAATGGAACCAGCAACCCTTTGATTTGCAGACTGGCAGTCAACCACTGAGCCACACCAGCCAGGGCTCATCTTGGATGTTTTTCATAAAAGCCTTCAGATTTTCATTTACACGGGTACCTTTGGTGGATGGAATTATAAGGCTTTGTGATTTAGAAAAGACTTCTTAGAGTGGTTGATTGCTACCACAGTGTCACTGGGATGGGCTTTTTCATAATAAGGGGTTGTCAGGGTTGGGGATGAGTTTTTTGTCAATTGTTGTCAGCATTTCTTACCCTTCCCCCTTGTGTTAGGACACAAGCAGAAGATATGAAAACAAGGCTGGCAGCTTCATCACTGGAATTGATGTCACCTCCAAGGTAAGACAGCCCATGATTTATTTATTCATTTTGATAAGTGGGTGAACTTGGTCCCTAGAACTTGCAGAACTGTAATTATTCTTTTCCTTCTGTTTTCTCTTATTGCTGGATTAAAATGTATTTAACTTAAATTTCATCTTATACAACGATGCCTTTGTGCATTCTGAAAACATCTGGGCAGTGTCTGTGTGTGCTCCTGTTCACAAGGTAAAATCACTATAGCTAAGTGCTTTTTTTAAACCATATCCAGGGAAGGGTTCTGTATTGGGAATGCTTTTTGTTATGCTGTGTCCATTCTTTAAAAATGATATACTGTTTCTACTTTAAATGAAACAAAACATGAAAAGTGCCTGGCCCTTCTACTGGCCCTTTTAAGTAGGTCCTTAGTAAATGTCTTTATTCCTTGCTGGTTGCAGGCTTAGAAAAATAGGATTTCCTGATTGTGAGTGGCTGCCTAAACTTTGAAGACCAAGTCAGCGGAATTATTCTCAGTACCTGGGAGTATTATCTTTTATCTAGTGATTGCTATTACTAGATTACCAACCTCACTGTAACTCCTCACACAGCCAGACCTATTATATTTCCTTCTTATTGTCAGTGCGTATTTGCTGCTTTAATTGGTGATGTCCAGTAAAGGAATTCTTTCTGACTTTAAAGTATACAGTTAAGTTTGGAACAGAATTTTGAATTAATTCTGAATAATAGTATAATATTGCCATATTGGATGTATAAAAGGAAAAATAAAAAATATGTCGTGCTTACCTTTTTACATTTTATCTGAGGCTCAGTCTGTCATAGATAGCTTGAAGGCCAGAAGAAAGAAATGATCTTTTAGACAGGTAAGAAAATAAAGTGAGTGGGCCTGTGAACCAAAGGATCATGGTTCGATTCCCAGTCGGGCCGCATGCGTGGGTTGCAGTCCAGTTCCCAGTAGGGATGCACAAGAGGCAACCATACATTGGTATTTCTCTCCCTCTTCCTTCCCCTCTAAAGATAAATAAAATTTTTTTTAAAGTTTTTATTTATTTATTTTTATTCCCCCCGCCCACTCCCTTATTTACTTATTTTTAGACAGAAGGGAAGCATCAGTGTGCAGTTACCTCTTGTGCACCCCCCACCAGGGACCTGGCCCACAACTCTGGCACGTGCCCTGACTGGGAATCAAATCGAACCAGCGACCCTTTGGTTTCCAGGCTGGTGCTCCATCCACTGAGCCACACCAGCCAGGGCAAGGTGTTTTCTTATTGTAATTAAAAAGAAGTAGACTGTCATGTTCTTAATTTTATATAGTTTGCCGTTACATGAAACAAATATACGGGGAAAGAGTGGTGGTCTCAGAATTGGTACTTAAGTTGTTACTAAGGGAAGGTAGATTAGTTTGCACTGGGAAGACTTCAGTGAAATTAGCATCACTATTGGGGAGTAACAGACGAGTTGCTGCTTTACCAAACCCCACAAGCTTTCTATAGTCCTCAGACCTTCAATTAGTGTGGCAAAGTCAATATGTAATTAGTGAAAGATTCCTAAGAGTTATCCACAGTTAGGTCTGCATTTATTTTAGCTCTTAGTTAAAAACTTGTGAAGCTGATTATTTTGTTTTCCAGTGAAGCATCAGTGCTTCTTGTCACTTAGATGAAAACAGGCAATTCCATGGACACGAGCCTAGAATAGAGGAGAGTGTTTCTTTGCCTCAGTGTTATTTTTAAACCAGGAAAAAGCCTTAGGGAGTGGACTGCTCACTCAGATGTAATGTGGACAAGTGTGATAGGTGTGATTACCATGCACACAGACAATGGAGAGTGGGGATGGTGGTGGGGCTCCTTTAAATAGCACCAAGATCAGAAGTTCTGCCCTCACTCACTAGCTGAAGTGCCTCCAGCAAGCCTTTTAACTTTTTTGTGCTTCAGTTTCTGCACCTGGAAAATTTGGATTTGAGATTATTTATTTGTAATTTGTTTGAGGCATAATTGCTAATAATAAATGAAATGCCAGAGAATTAAGCATCATGTATTACTTATTGAATCAACTAATATTCATTGAATTCCTGCTCTGCCCCAGACACAGTGATAGATATTGAATCATGATGGAGATTATTGCAAATTAGAGCAGCATCAGCGCGTACCCTCCTAGTCATTGACTTTGAATCCAGTTCTCTACAAAAATTATTAAAGATACATTGTTGCTTGTGTCTTCTGATTTATTTTAGGGTTGTCACTGATGCATTTTGTTGTGTTTGTGATTGTGTGTGTGATTTAACTTGTTCATTGAAAAATGGCTTTTTCCTTACCTTCCAGGAAGCAATTGAAAAGAAAGAACAGCGAGCCAAGCGCTTCCATTTTCGATCAGAAGTAAATCTTGCCCAAAGAAATGTAGCCTTGGACAGAGACATGATGAAGAAAGGTATGGGGTGGTTGAGGGGGGGGGGTTTCACATTTCCCCAGACAGTATAACTTTGTCCTACCATAGCCTTGCGCTTCCGGCCTTGCCTTGCGTGTCCAGTCTTCATCCACATACTCCCAAAGGAGAGAAATTTGTGAAGTCTCCATTTCTGAGGAGGCCTATTTAAAGTTGGGTTAGCTGTATCTCAGATGTTAGATCTGGAAAAAAGAGATTGTCTTGTCAGAGGAGGCCCAGAGAAAGTCACCCAGTTAGTGGCAGAGCTGAGGTTAGACCTGTGCTTCTATGGGCTCTTCCCTATTTTTTGCTCTTATCATGGAAAGGTTAACTTTTCTTTGTCTTTAAATGTATTGGAAGTATATCACAGTGAGACCTTCTATCAGGGGAGTCAGCAATATTGGGATTGGTGGGGGAAAGCCATCAATATTTCTGTTGATACAGGCTTACGATTTTTTAAAATTTTTGTGTTCTGTTAGGGTAAGTGTTTTGCTTTCTAGAACTCACCCTGAATAATACAGAGTGATCTGCCCCAGTGTTCTGAAGGAATTTATAAATGAAAGGGAAAATTACTATTTTTGGTGAGTTCATAGCCATATTAATTATCCCACACTAATTTAAGTCCATGAGTACAGAAGGTCTCCTCCCTCTGTTGTGTTTGCAAATTTTGGTATTTGTGAGGGGCTTGATGGGCAGACCTCTGAATGCATATTAGAGGTTTGTGTTCTGCTGTATGAGTTTCTCTAGGTTTGCTTGATTGATAAAAAACATGTTAAATGAATGAAAGAATAGCTACTCTCTTTTGGGAACTTGCTGTCTTAGTAGGCACTGTGTTAATGGGCATATTGCATATTTGTTTCTTCTCACAACCATATGAGGAATATATTTTTTATTTCTGTTTTACAAAGAAGTAGAAATAGGCTCAAAGAAGTTTAATAAATGCCCGAGATTATGCAGCTACTAAAAGTGGAGTCAGGAGTTCATCCTAGGTTTTTCTGACACAAGCCTGGCTCTGAACTACTTTGCTCTGTTACCTAACAATACGTGATATGATAGCACAGGCCCAAACCTCCTCAGGATATCCCAGGGGATAGAGTAGCTTGGATACAAGGCTCAACTCTGGATGCTGCTTTACTGTTTTTCCTGCATCATGAGTTCAAATTGGAAATAGGACCTTGCTTCCCTTGCAGGTTGGGTTTCCAGGCATCTGCCTGAGTGGACTTTTGTTTCAGGAAAAGCCCTGCGAAGGCCAAGGACAGCTCTGCAGCTTGGTATTCATCTGCCTGCCCAGTCTGGGCCCAAGCAGAGCTCTGAAGCCTCTCTCATACCTCCACCGTGAAAGCACCATGGTTTCACCACACCTGTTTACTTCTAGTCTTGTGCACATTTGTTGCGGCAGTTCATGCCTTTCGTTCTGCGATTTTGTCTTTCCTTGTCCCATGTTTTGTCTTGTTCAGATGTCATTTCCTCCGTGAAGCATCCCTAATCACCCACTCAAATTTCCTGCCTCCGTTGTAGCTCTTCAGGGTGCTAAAGCCCTCCTGGAATCCAGTCTCACTTCCTTTGTGAATGTGGACAAGTTATTGAACCATTTTAGATCTCAGTCTCCTTGTCTGTACAATGGGAATATGATACCTACCTGAATAGGATTGCTTTGGGGGTTAAATGTTAATTTATTTTATTTTTAAAGATTTTATTTATTTTTAGAGAGAGGGGAAGGGAGGGAGAAAGAGGGGGAAAGAAACAATGATGTGAGAAACATCTATTGTTTGCCTCTCATACATGCCATGACTGGGGACCAAACCGGCGACTTTTCACTTGGTGGAATGGTGCCAAAACAGTCAGGGCTAAATTTTAATTATTTTTGAAAAGCTATCTTAATCTCATAGTTCTAAAGATATTCCTAAAAAGCAATAGATCTGCCTAGATGTCAGCAGGACCAGTGGCTCGTTACAGCCTGTTTTTCATCCAGGATGGCCTAGGAGAGTGTTTCGGAACTCTGGAGAACCCTGCTGCCACTACGAGATGAGCTTAAATCAGGATGGGAGGTAGGCAGGGGGTTTGGATTGGTCCCAGAGGTTGTTATTTTATGTGCCCCTACGTGGTTCTAACGTACAGTCACGACTGAGAAAGCACCGCTGCCGTGGTGGGGAAGAGCACGGGTTCTGAAGCCTGACTGCCTGTGTTCAAATCCTGACCTGTTACTTTTCACTCTGTGACTTGGGGAAATTATTTAGCCTTCAAGAAACTCAGTTTCCTCATGTGGAGAGACAGTTGATAACAGCTGTTCTCACAGGGTTGTTGAAAGGGTCTAATAATATGTTACAGTTCTTAGGGTGGTGTCTGGTACACAGTAAGGCCCTGATAAATGTCAGTCGTTGTTTTCATTGTACGGCACTTTCCGTCTTCCAAGCAGTCATCTAAGTGGCCTAGCCTCGTGGGAGAATGGGGACATTGGAATAAACATCTTGACTCCTTCAGCCACGCTAGCTGTCAAGTTAGTTCTTCTTCCTAGTACCAACAGCAGTAATAAAAGATGCCATTGATAATGGGTACTGTGTTCCACTCTGCTGTGTGGTTAACTTGTCTTTTCAAGAGCCCTGTGAAGGGAAGGTAATTATCTTTTCTGTTTTGCTGATGGGGAAACCAGGGGGCTGAGGGGTCGAGAAACTTGTCCAAGGTCCCACAGCCAGGTAAGTAGCGAGGCCGTGACTTAAAGGCGAGTCTGACTGAACTCTGCTCCCGATCTCTCTGCCAGCACTCAGGGACAGAGTGTGGGAAATGCTGCACTACACCACTGAGCATCAAGAGTGATTTGCTGCTTACTCCTTAGTGACTTACAGCGTCCTGCAGCTTTGGCTTCCTTATCCCCACGAGCAAAGCTTTCATGGTTGGAAGGGACCTTGGAGGTCATCGAAATTCTCCTCCTGCCCAGCCCTGCAGGCCTTTTGGCAAAGTTCCCAGTGGTCTTTTGGCTTGTGCCTGAACGTTTTCTAGTGATGGCAGAACTGTTTATGAAGCAGTTGTTTTTGGTTTTGGATACATGTTAATACATGTTCCTCATGTTGAACAGAAATAGCTTTCTAGTAATTTCTGTTAGTTACTGTGTGACCCTTAGAACAACGTTAAGTCCTTTCCTCATTCACATAATAATCCTTCAGGTGAATGGGCAGTAAGCCCATTTCCTAAACTTTCTTTGTGTAACTTGACTTTCTGATCTCTCTAATAACCTCTTTTCATAAATGTCCTTCATAAAGTGAGTTGTAGATTCCAGATGGGGTTGGGTCCATGGGTAGTTTGGCAGGGCTGTACCACAGTTTCTGTCCTAGCCACTTCAGTGTTGTACTCGCCTCCTGGTCAGCCAGAGCACCCACGTCTTTCCCCTGAGAATTCTACCTCTCAGAGCAGGCTTTCTTGTCCTGTACTTGAGGCCCTGTTTAAAAATTACTTCCTACTTACCCCATCAGATTGTTAGTTTCTGGACTCCATTTCAGTGTGTCCAGTTCATTTTTATCTTCACTGTACCTTTTGGTAGTTTAGCTCTGTTCCTCACTGTGGTGTGGCAGGCTTCTGTATCGTCAGCCAGGTGTTGGGACAGGTTGATCAGGGTAATCCCATTTCATGCCATGAAACATAGGTGTATGAGTTACAAGTCTTAGTTTATTATCAGGTCCATGTTTCATTTGATTGTCCCGAGGAGCTAAATTAAATGCCTTAATGATCTCAAGATAGAACACCATCTATGAATTTCTTGGCCTGGTAGTGCTGTCAAAAAAAAAGAGAAGAGGTTAGTGTGGCTTGCTCTTGAGGAACTCACATCATTTTCTATTGGAAAGACTTGGTTTCTTAAGGCATCATAGATTGTTTCATAGGCCACTTTCCAGAAATTTCTGAGAATGACATTACTTTTTAATCTCTTGTTTGGGAATTTCTTTTTTCTTCTATTAAATTTTGTCCAGGATCAGTCCTTCTCAAGGCTTTAAGGTACTTCACTCCTTTTCTCGAACTCTTTAGAGATTACTGCCTAATTCTGAAACCACAACTGCGTGATTCAGTCAGTGCATCGGGGTGTAACTCCGGACTAGTAGATTTAAATTTATTAAAACTAATTCTTTTGCTTTTGTGACCTGTCTTGGATTTTAGTTCTTGTTAAAGATAGCTATTCTATTGCCAATTATAGAAATAGATCAACAGTTCTGCCTTTTTTCCTGCATCATCTTCCCAAAGCAGTGTTGTTCTAATACTTTTTTTTTAAATGCCATCAGCACTTTTTTATTACTGATTTCAGAGAGAGAGAAAAAGAGAAATGTCAGTGTGAGAAAAACATTGATTATACATGCCCCAACCAGGGATCAAACCCATAACCTCTGTATGTTCCCTGACCAGGAATTGAACCCGCAACCTTTTGGTGCATGGGACAGTGCTTTCAACCCATTGAGCCACTGGCCAGGGTGAGCTGCCAACATTTTTGATGAACCTGTATACTCTGGACTGTACCCTTTTCTTCATTAGATGTTATGCAAACAAGTCATGTCCACCAAAAAAATTTGGAAAGGAGAGTAAGAAAAAAAGTTGCCCACAATCTACCACCAAATCCAGTCATTGTCAACATTTTCTGTATTTCCGTCCAACCTTTTCTGGGTGTGGACTTTATTTTTGTTTTTCCCTTTCCTTTTCACTTGACAGACTGTCATCTGCATTTTCCATGTCTTTATATAGCCAGGTGTTAGTCCTTTAGAATCTTACATTGCTTACATTCATTCCTTTCCATTTGTCACTCGCAGTTTTCCCTTTATGTGACTCCCATGTATGTTCTGTGGCAGGTTGTTCTCATCCGAGCTTTGCTGCCTTCTCTTTCTTTGGGATCACCTCTTATACTCTGAGTTACTATATTTAGTGTCTTCCAATTTTTTTAGCATTCTAGTTTGAGGCCATAGGATTGGCTTTTCTTTCTCTTGATTTTTAGAAATCTTCCCTATTATCTGTCATTCATTGTCTTCTTGTCTGTTAGAAAAATTCAAGATGATGCCCTCACCGCCTTACTTATAGTCAACATTCGGTAAATGTTCAGTTCTCATTCCATAATCCATCTGTACTGCCATCTCAGCAGTTAGTCCTTTCTCATTGATTGGACACAAATCTGGGCTCCTGCTGGGTTTTATTTCAAGCAGTGATATTGTCAGCAAGGTGAGGAAGCACTGAGCTTCCCCTTTGGCGGTCTTTCATCGTTTCTGAGCTTAACCAAAGTGTGTCTTGCCACTGTCAGTTTGATTCTCTTTTGAGAATGTTTCTTATTCTCTAGCTGATTGAGACTAGTTTATCTCTGTGGTGATATGGCTGTTTTCTTTAACCTTATATCTCTACCCACTTCTTTGAACAAGTTTTTCCATGGCTCATTTCTATATGTGTACCATTCTCTACATTAAATAAAGACTTCTGAAGCCAGAAGTCTTATTACTTACCTTCTTTTTTTGTTTTCAAGCTATTTCCTCACTGTAGGGTGTTTTTTCTTTTTCTTTTTTTAAATAAAAATATTATAATGCTAGTCCTGGCCACGGTGGCTTAGTTGGTTGGAGCGTCATTCCATAAATCAAAAGGTCACAGGTTCGATTCCTGGTCAGGGCACATGCCTAAATTATGAGTTTGGTCCCCGGTCAGGGCATGTACAAGAGGCAACAGATCGGTGTTTCTCTCCCTCTCTTCTTTCTTCCCCTCCTCTCTCTCTAAAAGCAATAAGCATGTCCTCTGGTGAGGACTTAAAAACAATGTTGTAATGTTAGAATAATGCTGCGATGCTGTTGATACTTATTTTTGTCATTTTTTTGGCGTTACCCTTTCTTTGCTTATCTCATTTATGAGTAAACCCTTGTTATCAGGCCAACAAGTCTCATACAAGATATTTTTGCCCTGGTCCTCGGTCTCTTCCCTCCACCATCTCTAGGAGCTCTCCCCATTTTTGTTACATCTGTTTACTTGGGCTCTTTTTCATCCATGCTCGTGGCTGTTAGCTCGAAGAACTGAGAAGGCCTGCTGGTCTGACCCCAGTGTCTCACTCCGGATGTCCATTGTGAACACTCATCTCGTGGGGCCTTTGTTCGCTGTAGCGCGGCTGGTCACTAAGGGCTTGCTGAGCATCACGGGTCTTGGTCTCTCCGTCCTCAGGGACCTGGGTGGCACGAAGGGATCACCTCATCGAGTTTGGACACACCCATGGGCTCTCCTTAAGCCTTTTACTCTTCAAAGTCACAGAGAACTATTTAAAATTTTTTTCATCTGACAGTATTTACATGTATTTTAAGTTTACTAGTTTTAAATACAAGTAATATGTGACATCAAAACGTAATGTAACAGGTACTGAGTTTTTGACAGTTACCTCAGAGAAGGGAGGGGGAGAGGGATGTGGGGCGGTTGCGCTGGCCCCAGTTTCACATGTAAGTTTTATTTGCCTCGAATCTTTTAAAGAAATTAAGCATGAAGCTAAGTGGTGAATATACAAGTATTTTACATTTATTTTTTCATATTGACATGTTACATATTTCATAATTAAAATGATTAAATGAGATACTATATCTAGAGTACTGAGAAAAAAAGTAACACAACCGTGGAAGGGCTAAGGTTTTGTTTTTGACCACAGCCTTTAATCTTTCTTCCTCCCCAGAGGTAGCAAACTGTTGTGTATCAGATCATACTAGGCTGTTTTCTAGGTATTGGTTTACCCAAACATGTACCCTGAAAAAATATATGTTGGTTTTTATGTTATAACTTTTTTTTTTTAATATTTTATTTATTTATTTTTAGAGAGAGGGGAAGGGAAGGAGAAAGAGTGGGAGAGAAACATCAATGTGTGGTTGCCTCTCGTGAGTCCCCTACTGGGAACTGGCCTGCAACCCAGGCATGTGCCCTGACTGGGAATCGAACTGCGATACTCTGGTTCGCAGGCCCGCGCTCAATCCACTGAGCTACGCCAGCCAGGGCTTATTATAACTTCTTTAATGTCATCACATTGTATGTATTTTTCTACAGCTTTTTTTTTCACTCTCTTAGAATCTTTCCATGGTATTTAACCAAATAATATTCTATTATATGGATAAACCACAATTCATTTAATATGGATAAACGGTAATATACCACTCTGATAGCTAGTTGGTTATTAGCAGTAGTGCTGCAGTGAACATCTTAGTGTGAACTACTGTGTGAACCCACTTGTATTTAAAGATTTTATTTAGAGAGAGGGGAAGCGAGGGAGAAAAAAGGGAGAGAAACATCAGTGTGTGGTTGCCTTTCACGTGGCCCCCACTGGGGACCTGATCACAGTGCCCTGACTGGGAATTGAACTGGCGACCCTTTGGTTTGCAGCCTGCACTCAATCCACTGAGCTACACCAGCTAGGGCTATTTGTAGGATTATTTTACTCTAGTTTCCTTCTTTGCTTTATATCCAGGGACAGCGTCTCTTCTTTTTCAGAAATTGTCTTTTAACTATTGCACCTTTTTCTTTGATACCCATTTAAACATTTCAGAATCAGCTTTTCAAGTTTAATGAATCATAAACTTGAATTTGGTTGAATTTGGTATTGCTTTAATTACTACAGGCTAATTAGGGGAGAGGTATTATGTATTTTATTCTCGGCCAAAGTGCCTACTCTGAATTTAAGTCATTTGTTTAATACTGTTTGGTCTGTGATTAAAAATTAATATAGTGTGTACTTGATGTTATGTTTTTTTTAATAAATATCATCTCTTCCAGCATATTTCTTTCCTAAGCACATGTGATCTGAACTGTGCAAGGGGGTACTGGTGGGATGGGCAATAGTGGGTGGGAACATTCTGTCATCTTTTCTGTGTCCTGCTTTCCTAGCAATCCCCAAAGTGAGACTGGAGACCATCTACATCTGCGGAGTGGATGAGATGAGTACCCAGGATATCTTTTCCTATTTTAAAGAATATCCTCCGGCTCACATCGAGTGGTTGGATGATACCTCCTGTAAGTACAGCCAACTTTTCTGTTGAATATACTTTTGTTTATTATTTTAAAAGTGTTCTTGCCTTCTCAGATTGTGAACAATTATGGCCCAGACTACTTGGTTATGCTTAACCTGTGCTTGTAGCTTAGGAAAAAAATGCCCATTGATGAGAACCGAATGCATTAACCAGTTAACCAAATTATACCCCATGAGTATTCCAGGTCAGCTCAGGGGTAGTGACCAGGGCTTAGGAAGCTGGTTGCTGGCATCTAATTCTGGTGTATACAACTGAGGCCTCCTTTAACACCCACAATCCCCAACAAAGGGGTGGATACAGCTGTATAGACCTGGGCTGAGGACCATGTTTTTAGGGCTTTAGGATTTGTCATCGCAACTTGCCATATAGTCATGCAGAGAGCTGGCTCTGCCTCAGTGTCTTTAACCCAGAAATGTGTCAGAACCCTCTGACACTGTACCAGCCCTCGCGTCTCTGCTTGTTTTGGACTGTGTTTTCTGGAACTTCACCTGCTTGTACTAACCTGTGAGCTGGAACCAACTGTAATTTTTTACTTGCCTCTCTACTGCAAGTTTGTCCTGACCTCTGGTGGCCATTCTGCTGGCTTCTTGCCTTTTTTTTTTTTAATTATAAGAGTTTATTTAGAAGGTTACAAAGGGTAGTACAAGTGAGCCAGCTGGGCCACGTGGGCTCAGGAAACAAGTCACAGAGACAGAGGAAGGTCCTTGGAGCTTAGGAAAGGGAAAGGCAAAGCTGATGGCACCTGTGGGGAAGAAGAGGGGGAGGGAAAGGTGCAGCATGCTCCCTGAGAGGAAGAGGGAGATTGAGAGTATGCTCTGGGCCCTTTGTCTTGAGGGTTTTATTAATGGACAGGAGTTTAGGAAAGGTCTTAGGGGAGGATCTCAGTAGAGTATTTGTCAGCTTTGTGTTGATGTGCCAAAATGAGATTTATTCTCTTGCCTGTGCCTGTATTGGATGTGGTTGACACAAATGGCACTAACTGGCTTTCTGCTCTCTATCTCCTTGGAGGAGGGTGACTTAAGCTATTTACCCTCTGGTTGGGGAGGAGAAGTGCAAACCATTCACATTAGGCGTCCTTGGTTAGGGAAGACGATTGTAAACTGCATGGTCATTTAACTGCCTGTCTCAGTTTCTCTATTCCAGTTGTCCTGGCTTACTGGCCTGTCTCGTTCCCCCTTCAGAGACTTCCATGTCTGAAATTTTTCAGGGATGAGGGAGGACTGCAGGTCTTCAGGAACTGCTTCCTGCTGACCAGGACGTGGTCCCTGCCTATATGGGGTGTGGAGGTCTCTGCCCACCTGATCTAAGAGAGACAAGGGAATGGGACCTGAGACTGGAACAGAGAGACTGTTTTGTGATTCTTCCAGTGTGGGAACTGGCTGGAATCCCCGAAGCATCATCATCTTGATGTGGAGTTGTATCCAGAAGCAAAGTTGGTTGGCTTCTTGCCTTGACTCACTTCTAGCCTGGCTTTACTTATCGCCAGCTTGCTGACCTACTAGGTTGTGCCCTGTATGTAGCAGCCTGGTTTTTCTGGCTGCTTTCTTTGGAAGATGTCAATTCATTATTTTCACTGAAAGAAGAAGACACATGACTGAGTGAAAGACTTTTCTCCTTTTTTCTTTTTCCTTAGTTTACATCGTTCAAATCAGGGGTTGCCTAACTTTTTTTAAATAAAGTACTGGGTGGTTACTACTTTAGGCTTTGCAGGTCATATAGTCTCTGACACATTTATTCAGCTCTGCCATAATTGCATGAAAGCAGCCATAGACAATATATAATTGAATGAGCCTGACTGTTTTCCATAGAACTTTATTTATAAAAACAGGAAGTGGATGTGGTTTATTGTACAGTAACTGTACCTAAATAAAGCTGGTGCAAATATAAATAAACAAATAAATAAATGACAGATGATGGGCTGGATTTAGCCTGCCGGTCATAGTTTGTTAACCACTTGTTTAAGTCATTAAAACTAGGTAAGGGATGTTATAATTGGAGCAACCCTTAGAAATATCCTGTTCAACCACCTCATATTGTGCATCAGAAACCGAGAAACAGAGAAGGGAGACTGTTTGCCCAAGGCCACATGGCATGTCAGTAACAAAGGTGAGATTCTTAAGACCTTCATTTCCCAAACTGAGATACAAATGCCGTTTTAAATAGTTTGACGGGTTTCTTTTTTGTAAGAATTCTCAAAAGGTTTTTCTTTGTCAATTCTCTTCCTTGAAGAAGAAGATTTGAGTAGTTGCTACAGAGCCCAGTCAGTGCCTGTTACGCCCCCATTGTGCAGTGCGCCCCACAATGATGCCAGCATCAGCGGGGACATCATTCTGAAGCACATCTGGAGGATGAGCTGCAGCATGGGGCTTCCCTGTAGGGACAGTGGCATGAAGGATAATCCAAATTTATTGGATAATTTTCATTGTCATCCTCATCAAGAACTAAAACATAGCACTCACTGTGCGCCCATCAAAATATACAAAAACGTTTGTATATTTTTAATATACAAATGTTTTTTCATGGGATCTTTAACCATTATTTTGTGGAACTGAGTTTCGAGTGTAGCTCTAGGCTAATTTCATCAGAGTTTTTATTACTACTTTCTATTCTTTTCATTAGAGTAGATATCAATAAATTGTACATTTATTGATACCAATTTGTACCTAGATGAGGCTGTAACAGTGAATATAATGCAGTTTCTATTCTCAGGAAACTTCACCATTCGGATGTGATGCAGTGTTTTATTTTACATTTTATTTTAGGCAATGTGGTTTGGCTGGATGAAATGACAGCCACACGAGCCCTTATCAATATGAGTTCTCTGCCAGACCTGGATAAGATAAAAGGCAGGGATGCCAGTGAGGACAAGTCATCTGAGAAAAGCAAAAAAGGTAACTGAACACAAAGGAGGGACTTTGGGGCTGACAGTCCTGTTACACTGAGTCGGCTTGGGTTTTGCGCAGAGCGTTGCATAGCATCCCTCACCACTCATTTCTGAAATAAGCCTTGATGTTTTGGACCATCAGTAAGTAGAAGGAGAAAATGATTGGACTTTTAAGCGGTATGAGATAGAGTTACAGTAAAGTTTATCTAGTCTGTCTCATTCCATTTTAGGCAAGCAGGAAGACAGTTCAGATGATGATGAGGCTGAAGAAGGGGAAGTCGAAGATGAAAACTCAAGCGATGTAGAGGTTAGTCACAGGGGGAAGATACATGTAAGGTTTTACTGTAAAAGAAACTGCTTACTCTCTTTTTATTTAAGGTTTAAAGACTTAGTAAGTTGTGTTCTTCCTCTGACTGTCACCCTGAGACCTCTTGAGGGTGCACCAGGCCCTTGGCCTTTAAGTTTGTGTGACTGGAATGAATGATTCATCTTGAGGTCTTAGAATAGTACTCATTTAGAGCAGTAATCACTTTCTATAAAATAAAATGGTTTTATTGAGGAATACTTTGAAGTGTTATCTAATTAGTACAATTAAGGAAAAGCAAGTAATGGCATGTTTCCTGGTGGATTATGTACTATTGTTGGAAAAATTAAAGTGTATTAATTTAAAAAATATGCATTGAGTGCTTACTATATACCAAATTCTAGGTGCTGGGGATATAGCGTCAAGCAGAACAAAGTCTTTGCCCTCTTGGAGCCTACATTCTAGTGGGGAAGCCAGACAGTACACAGATACACAGATATGTAATGTCAGGAAGTGATAAGTGCTGTGAAGAAAATTAAGAAGGGTAAGTGGATAGAGAATGGTAGAGACCATTGTTTTCTTTGACAAGGTGGCCACCTCTGGCTTAGAAATTCCACAGGGGAACTAGCGCAGAGTGCTTTCTTAACCCGTGGTAACTTTGCTGCTCAGGAAAGGCGAAAACGGCTGTAATGTTTATATTGAAATACTCTTTTTTCCTTAAGTTGGACACATTATCTCAGGTAGAAGAAGAATCTCTGCTAAGAAACGATCTTCGTCCCGCTAACAAACTTGCTAAAGGAAATAGGTTATTCATGAGATTTGCTACAAAAGGTAAATATGATATTTGGTATCAATTTTTATTTTTACTCAAAGTGGTTTATTACTGAGAGACATCCTTCTCTTTTGAATCAGAAGTTAGATCAGATAATCTCCAAGTCCCTTTAGACTACAATATTTTGTGCTTATGAACCGATTGCTTGCTGCCTGAGTTGCAGTTTCTGACTTTGAATGTAAATATTAACTATTTGTATCCTTTTTTGATTTCTGTCTAAGTAAGTTAGTTCCTGTTAAAGCTGGTTTGTCCCGTGTGCTTTTCAGCAAATTTATCATCTAAACTATGGACAGCTTTTAAGATTGTGTGTTTTCTTTTGTATCCAAAATGTGTTTATTGGGCTGGTTCCCCATGCATCTTGATTCTGGGCATTCTTGGTGCTGTGTCCTTCTGCAAACCGGGTGGGTCCTCCTGTAGGTGGAGCAGCCAGCGCACAAAACGACCCCGTGTGCTGGCTAAAGAGGGTGATGATTTTATAGCATCCTGAGCACTTCACACCCGTGGAGTAGGAACTGGGGCTCCGCACCAGGTGCTTCTTCCCGAGCTCCCTCATCTCCTCTCTGGAGAGGGATGGAGGAGATCCTCTGAGAGAGGCTGTGGGGAGGTCGTCACTGCTGGAAAGTAAAATCGTGTGTTTTTCTTTATCACAACAATATCCTTCTGGACATTGTTTATAGTACCATGCAGCTCTCATTCTCTAAGGAATTAAATCAAGTCTCTTATAATTTCTAAGGTTTTATGTGCACGGTGATTTTTGTGTTTTGGTTGAGCACACATACAGTTTCTTGAGTGAGTTAGAGATGACAGTCCTTCACCCTCGAATGCTTCAGTATGTTTCTGAAGAATGAGGACTTTGTCATATACACAGCACAAGTTATCAAAATCAGGAATTAACAGTAATACAACACTATTACACAATCTGTCGTCCACATTAGGATTATATCAGTTATTACAAGAATCCTCCACCCTGTGTATTAAAACTGTCTGACACTGTGAGTGGTGTGTGTAGTAGCACTTCTTGATGATGATGATAGTTTTCAAGTAAATTTGGATTTTCCTTTGTACTTCTCCCCCACTAAACTGGATCCACTTCAGGACTGATCATTGAAGTATGCTGTATCTCCTTAGTCTCCCCGAGTCTGGAACTATACCCCTCTGCTTTGTTTTCCTTGACTGAAACATTTTTTAAAGAGCTAGGCTAATCCTGTTATAGAGTGCTCTTTAGTGTGGGCATGTCTCATGTCTGTCCCTGATTCAGTTTGAGTTGCGCAATTTAGGCATTGCCTCAGAAGTGATGTTGTGTTGTTTTCTGTGCATCGGATCAGGGGTCATGAGTATTGTGATATACAATAAATATCACAAGTAAATGTGATATTTATTTGTCCCATTGCTGAGGTTATTAACTTATTGCTTGCTTTAGGTGATGATTGCCAGGTTTCTCGATACTGTAAAGTTTATATTTTTTCATTCGTAATTTTAAAATTTGTGGGAAGATACTTTGAGATTGATTATGTAAGTAGTCCGTTGCTCATCAAACTTTCACGCAGTAGCTTTAGCATCCATTGACTTTTTAACTCCATCATTTTTTTATTAGTTGGCAGTCTGCTGTAAGGAATGCCTTTCACTTTAATCCACTTAGTTATTTACTTATATCCATTTAGAGTCATAGAGTTTTATTCAGTGGGTTATCATACATCGCTATCATCGTTTTGACTCACAAATTGTCCTGGATTTGCCCAGTGGAGCCCCTTCTACCTGTGTGCTTTAGACACGTCTCCATGATCCTTAGATCACTTTCTTTACGGAACACCAAAACATACTGTTCTTCCAGACTGAATTTGTGTTTCCCCTTCCTCAGCTCTGGAACCAGCCATTTCTCCTCGGGCCTGTTCTTTGTAGGGGCACATCCTAGTTGTGCTGCCGAGTTTCCCCGTAGCCCTGATACCTGCACATTGGGGTTCGTCTCCTCTGCCGTCAGTGAGCGCTCAAGGAGCCGTTGACGTCCTTTTTATTATGAAAAGTATGTGTGATCACTGTGATCACTGACCACCTGTCCTTCCTGTTAATCGGCATTTTTCAAAAAATCCTCACCCAAGGATATGCTTACTGATTTTGCTTTAGAGAGCGAGAGAGAGAGAAACATGGATGTGAGAAGAAACATTGCTCGATTGCGTCCCATATATGCCCTGACCGGGGATTGAACTCACAGCCTTTTGTTGTGCAGGTTGATGCTCCAACCAACTGAGCCCCCCAGCCAAAGCTACTTGGCATTTTAACTTAACAAAGGGATCTTTTCTACATTGACTCATTTGAGTGGTTATTTGAGTATATTCTAGGTATATGGTATCATGTTCTTCTTTAAGCCATTTTAAGAAAATCATAATAAACTGGAAAAAATGGTTTGTCAAATATATGGAATTATGTATAGTCTATTTCCTTAAATCCGATTCTGTATTATTGGAGTATTGTCATTTTGAAATGAATGTCACCTTTTAGGGGACAGTGAAAATGCCTCCTCTCCTAAAAAGCCTTCTTTGATTCTTTAGCACATGTAATGACTGAAGCTCTTTCATGCTTCCTAGAACCTCGTATATTGTGTTGTTAGGTTTTTCTAGTAGTATTTCCTCTTCGAAGTCGGCTCCTTAACAACATCCTCACCTCATTCATCTGTTTCGTTCCACCCCTCACACTTAGTAGGCACAGGGAGTGGGTGTGCTGATCTGATCCCAGCTATCGAAACACAGTCTTTTGTTTTTCTAAACTGTTCTGCATGTTTTCATGCCTAGGTATGAAAACCTAGGTAACTGTTGTAATTAATTTTTAGATGACAAAAAGGAACTTGGAGCAGCCAGAAGAAGTCAGTATTACATGAAATATGGGAATCCAAATTACGGAGGCATGAAAGGAATTCTTAGTAATTCTTGGTGAGTCCAGAAGTGTGAAATACCATAGTTAAACTTTTCTTAATCCTTTAGTGGGTATCCTGGAGTGGACTGTCAACACCATGTGGACTCAAAGGAAGACAAGAGGGAGGAGTACAAGATTCTTTTTTTTTTCTCAATAATTTTATTTAGTTATTTTTCAAGTACAGTTTTTTGCCTGTTTCTCCCATCCCAGGCCCCCCCCCCCATCTTTTTTTTTTGTACTGATTTTTTAGAGAGGGAGAGAAAGGGAAAGAGAGAAACATCAATTTGTTATTCTACTTATTTATGCATTCTTGTGTGTTGATTCTTGTGTGTGCCTTGACTGGGGAATTGAACCCACCTTGGGATATCGGTACAACCCTTTAACCAATTGAGCTACTTGGCGAGAGCCAAGTGCAAGATTCTTACCTGTGGTAAATGGTGTGAGAACGCCGAGTTTCAGTTTTATTTCTGATGTCTCTGTCTCAACACCCAACATTATGTCAGTGTGTAGTCGAAATTAATCAGTGGATTTCAAGGTCCTTCCTGGTGGTCTTTGATTTTGTGCTTATTTTGGCAATGTTGCAGGAAGCGAAGATATCATTCCCGTCGCATTCAGCGGGATGTGATCAAGAAGAGAGCCCTGATTGGGGATGATGTCGGCTTGACGTCCTATAAACACCGACATTCCGGTAGTTGCCTGCTCAGCTCTTGGGTAGACACATGTTTGGCTCCCGAAATCATATTTTTATTCTTAACACAGTCTTTTAAGGTTCCAAACTTTATCATCCTCTCTTCCTTGCCCTCACCCTCTGCCAACATATAGGAAAGTAAGTCAAGTCACAGTTAATTTTAAATTGTCCATACAAAGAGGTCAAGTGATTTTATAAAAGCTGTTCTAACAAAAAAAAGTCCAAATGTGACATAGGGAAAGTGAAAATAAAACTATTATTAAGAATATAATTGTTTCTACTATTTATATCAAAAGCTGCATGAAAAATTCTTTAAAAAATATTTTATCAGATGAACTGATTTTATTGTTCCTTTATCTGAAAAAGAAAATAGGCTGCTATGCGTAGTGTTTTATGCTTATTGGCTTGTGCACACGAAGGTCTCCAAAAAGTGGGATGTCATCACTCAGCTCTCCCCTCCCTCCCCTCCCCTCCCTCCCCTCCCCCCCCTCCCCTCCCCTCCCCTCCCCTCCCCTCCCCCTCCCCTCCCTCCCCTCCCCTCCCCCTCCCTCCCCTCCCCTCCCCTCCCCTTCTTCCCCTTCCCTCCCTCCTGTGCTTATTATAGAAGAACCACTTTCATTATATTTTATGAAGATTTGTTTTTATTTTGAACCTAATCTGTGGGATCTTCTACATCCTTTATAGGACTTGTTAAGTCAGCATACAAACATGGAGTAACATGCATATACATTTATCATTGTAATAGGGAGAGGTTGAAGCCTATACCTTTTTAGTTAATGTGTACATCAAAAATTGTATATTTGAAATTTGCATCTTATACAGTTATACTTCTCCAGTGTCATTTACTTTAAGATATTTTTATCATGCAATCTTTATATTATATAAAAGAAATTTAAAAGATTCCCCTAATTCTTGGACTCTAATGCTGACTTCATTTTATGTTTTTCCTATTCATTTCTTTTCATAATATTATAATTTTTGTGAGCATATATTTTATATCTGCTTCAACTATTTCTAAGCAGTTTTTCATGAATTTAAAGTTATAGTTGATTTTCATTATTTCTGGTGGTTATGGTCTATAAAGTCACCAGGATCATTGAAGGATCTGGTCATACCATTTTTGTTAGCTGATCAATATCTATAACCTTGTGTGATGTTTGTTTCTGTTGAAAGATACTTTATTTTAACATATACATTTAGTACATTTACTAACATGGATTCATAGGCTAGCAACACCACTTTAACTCATGTCTGAACAAAGCTTACCTAATACACGCATTTTCCCCTTAAGGTTCATCACATTGTCCTTGCACTTCTTTAGTGCAGGAACAGTGGATAGTTTTAACATTACTAAACAGTGAACTCAGCAAGAAAAGCCACAGACAGGTGGAAAACATGGCACGCAGTAGACTGTACCAAGCGAACTTACTTACCACGTGAGAGAGGAAACAAGGAGGCGGAGCAGTGCCTTCTGTGACCTCCGCTGGCAATGTGTGTGTGTGGCGACTCCGACTCTTTTTGCCACTCTGCATATGAAAGCACTGCGAGTTAGAAATAAGTTCGGCGGATTTGCAAAAATGGAGTCTGTGAATGATGACAGTTGACTGTATTTTAGATAATTTTATAATATTCCATAGACTGCTAGATCATACTTTACCTAGCCATTCTGCTGTTGTAGGTATCAGAATGGTAACCAGATTGGCACTGTTACAGATAATGCTTTAATAAAATCTTGGACATGGGAACCCCTTCTTTTAAAAAGGTCATTGAAGTGAATAGAAAATTAGACTTGTCAGTACTCTTCCTAATGTTCTTTTTGGTTAAATTCCTTAGGACTAGTGAATGTCCCTGAGGAACCCATTGAGGAGGAGGAGGAGGAGGAAGAAGAGGAAGACCAGGACATGGATGCAGATGACAGGGTGGTGGTGGAGTACCATGAGGAGCTTCCAGCTCTCAAGCAGACCCGGGAGCGGAGCACATCCAGGCGGTCCAGTGCCAGCAGCTCAGACTCTGATGAAATGGACTATGATCTGGAACTGAAAATGATTTCCACTCCTTCACCAAAGAAAAGCATGAAAATGACTATGTATGCTGATGAAGTGGAATCTCAGTTGAAAAATATTAGGTGAAATTATTTTTTATTTTCATCAGTGCTTCCTTTTAGTTTGTTAAAGTGTTCGGTTTTTTCTTAAAGTATATAAGAGGAGATCCTTGTTATAGACAATATAAAAAGTGAAAATCACCTGCATCATCCTCTCCTATGATAAGGACTGTTACCAATTAAGAGAATAACCTTCCAGCCCTGGCTGGTGTAGCTCAGTGGATTGAGTGCGGGCCTGTGAACCAGAGAATAACCTTACTGCTAGTCTTATGCATATATATAACACATGGAGAGGTTATAAATATATTTGTACAAAAATGAAGTTATGCTATTTATATTGTTTTGCTGTATGTTTTTTGCATTTAACATATTGTAGACATCTACTATCTTTTCAACTGTATGTACTTCATCGTTTGAAAGTATCATAGTTTATTTAACCCACAGGTGGCAAACACAAGGCCTGCGGGCCAAATCTGGCCCTCCTCGTTTCTACCCGGTGGCAGCACTGAGCTCTAGCTTAACTGTTAAGGAGCAGTTACATTTATACAGTCCTAAAATTACATTCAGCCCTTTGGAGGCAACCTTGAGGCTGATGTGGCCCCCGGTGAAAATGAGTTTGACATCCCTGATTTAACCCAATCTCTCACTGATGGACATTTAGCTTTCTATTTTCTTACTATCACACTCATAGATAAATTCTTTGAATTCCAGTGATTACATGAAAAATATACATGTTTTAAAATGTGATATTGCTGCCCCAGTTGAGTGTGGCTCAGTTGGTTGGAACATTGTCCGGTACATGAAAAGGCTGTGGGTTCAGTCCCTGGTCAGGGCACATACCTGGGTTGCATGTTCGATCCCTGATTGGGTGTGTACAGGACGCAACCAACTGACGTTTCTCTCACTTTGATATTTCTTTCTCTCTCTTTCTCTACCCCACTCCTCTCCCTTTCCCTCCTCCTCCTTCCCTCTCTCCCTCCCTTTTTCCTCTTTTCTTTCTCCCTAAAATCAGTGAACATATCTTTGGGTGAGGATTCAAACAAATTTTTTTAAATGTGGTATTGCTAAATTTCATTCCAGATTTTATTCACTCACGTTGCCACCTGTTACTCACATACCAGTGTTAGGTACTGTTGCTTTGTAATTTTTGCTAATTTCATGGACAAAAACATAGTTACTTTAATGTACATTTCTGTGATGACTAGCGGGGATGAGCAGAATCCCAAGGGCAGCTAGCACATGCACAACCCAAAGGACTGGAGGCTAGGGGTACTCTCTTTAAGTGTGCTTGGTGGTGTATTTGGGGAAAGGGGAAAAAACATTCAAGCTGGTTTGTCTTTGTGGCATCCTTATTTTCAGTTTTCATAGAACTTTGTAATGATAAATGCTGCCAGAACAATACTGCTCCTTAGAATGGTAGCAGATCTCTGAGAGGGGAGTCAGTCAGCTCTTTAAAGAAGGGGATTGTAGATTCTTGTATCTTCACTCCAGCCAGAGCACAGCCTGGGTGAGCACAGGCCTTCAGCCCTTTACTGGCCTCTACCTTAACGTTTGTCTCGGGGTACAGGGACTCACAGTTACGTGCTCTGTGATAGCTTTACCCTGGAAAACTCAGGAACCTGCCCACCTATGCCACTGTCTGTATAACAGGCTGATCCTGATTTTTGTGAACAAATAATTTTTTTGTGTGAGTGAATGAATGGTGGCTATTTTTACAGTGGGTTTTTAAAATTGTTTCCTCAAAAGTATGAGATTGTTATGTGGGCATCGTCCCACAGTTGAAGTTGTTTAACTGTGCCCTATTTTTTAAGGAATTCCATGAGGGCAGATACTGTATCCACAAGCAATATCAAAAACCGAATCGGTAACAAATTACCGCCTGAGAAATTTGCAGATGTCCGGCACTTATTAGATGAAAAACGTCAGCACGTGCGCCCACGGCCATCGGGCAGCAGCACTAAATCAGGTATTGTTGTTCAGTTGTTTCTGGGCTTCCGTCTGAGCTCCACAAAGCAAACTGGGGGAGGGACCGGTTTTTAGATAAAATGTTGCTGTTCGTGGACCTATTTAGTTGTTCTGGTTCATCGCTTCTAAATTTTGAGTTAAGCATTAGACTTCAGGACATGAAAGATAACCCTAAGAGTAATAAAAATTAAACAGACTCCTGGTCAGGATGGAGGCCTAGGTAAACATTGCTTCACCTCCTTGCACAACTACAGAAAAAAATTACAACTAGACTACAAAACAAATATCACCCAGGACCATCAGAAATTAGAAATCTGACAACCAAGGTTATAAAGAAGCCACATTCATGCAGACAGTTAGGTAGGAGGGGTGGTGTGGCCTGGGGATGTGGGGGAATGGGTGGTCCCACATTTACATGTGGTGGATAAAAATTCGGAGGGATAACTCAGGAGCAAGTGATCCCAGCCCCAGGCTGGGATCACACAGCCCAGGATTCCATTGCCAAGAAGATAAATCCCCATAACTTCTGGCTATAAAAACCAGAGGGGGTTGGGTCGGCAGAAGAAACTGCTGAATTTTCAGGAGACCCCTCTTAAAGGGCCCACACGGATATAGGACTTATTCAGACCTACCTACTCTGGGGTCCAGCACCAGGGCAACAGCTGGAAGGGCACCAGTCTCATATAGGGAGAAAGTGAAAAGACTGGAAACAGGGCAAGTGCCAGGAAACAGCTTCCTCCTACGCAGACCTCCAGAAGCCAGGCAGTGGTATTGTCCTCTCTCCAAGCCCTCCTCCCACACAGAGCCACGAAGCGGTGAAGCAGGTTGCCTGACCCTGGTGATTACCTGAGGCTTGGCCCCACACAATTTATAGGGGCCTTTTCTACAATAGGCCATGCCACCAAAACAGAGAATCAGAGCTGCTTTACCTAATACAGGGAGGCTGCCAAATGGAGGAGACAAAGAAATATGGTCCAAATGAACAGAACAAAACTCCAGAAAAAGAACTAAGCAAAATGGAGATAACTCTCCTAACAGGTGCAGAGTTCAAAACACTGGTTATCAGGATGCTCAAAGAACATGTTGGGTACACCAACAGCATAAAAAAAGACCCAGGCAGAAATGAAAGTTGCACTAAGTGAAGTAAAGAAAAATCTACAGGGAACCAACAGTAGAAGGGATGAAGCTGACAATCAAATCAAAGATCGGGAAAGTAAGGAAGAAAAAAGCATTCTATCACAACAGCAAGAAGAAACAAAAATTAAAAACAAAACAAAACAAAAAACAAGAATAGTCTAAGAAGCCTCTGGGATATCTCCAAACGTACCAACATCTGAATAATAGGGGTGCCAGAAGGAGAAGAGGAAGATCACGAAATTGAAAACATTTGAAAAAATAATGAAAGAAAACACCTAATTTGGTGAAGGAAATAGACATACAAGTCCAGGAAGCACAGAGAGTCCCAAACAAATGGGATCCAAAGAGGACCACACCAAGACCCATCATAATTAAAATGCCAAAGGTTAAAGATAAAGAATCTTAAAAGCAGCAAGAGGAAAGCATAGTGTTACCTACAAAGAAGTTCCCATAAGACTGATAGCTTATTTCTCAAAAGAAACTGCAGGCTAGAAGGGATTGGCAAGAAGTATTCAAAGTGATGAAAAGCAGGGACCTACATCCAAGATTACTCTAACCAGCAAAGCTTTCATTTAGAGTGGAAGGGCAAATAAAGTGCTTCCCAGGTAAGGTAGAGTTAAAGGAGTTCATCATCACCAAGCCCTTATATAAAATGTTAAAGGGACTTACCTAAGAAAAAGAAGATAAAAAACTATGAATAGTAAAATTACAACAAATTCACAACTGAACCTAAAAAAAAGAAACAAAAACTAAGCAAACAACCAGAACAGAAATAGAATCATAGATACGAATTTCATTTGGAGGGTTATCAGCCAGGAGGGAGAAGGGGGGAGAATGGGGGGAAAGGTGCAGGGATTAAGCATAAATTGCTAGTACACAGTAGACAGGGAGAGGTTAAGAATAGTGTAGGAAATGGAGAAGCCAAAGAACTTAGGTGTGTGACCCATGGACATGAACTGAGGGAGGATTGCTGGAGGGAAGGGGGAAACTGGATGGAGGGGGCAAAGGGAGAAACATTGGCCCAACTCTAATGACAATCAATAAAATATATTTTTAAAAAGTAATAGAAATTAAATTGCTGTTGTAGAAATAGTTAAGAATTTGAACTGATGCCCATCTAACAGGTACTTGGCTATGCCTGCTGTGTGCCAGGCCCTGGGCTAGGTGGTGGGGATGTTCAAAGTCTTTGGAGAGAATGCAAAGTCATCGTAGAACTCTGATGGAGAAACACACAAGTACACACATTCAGATCATTCCACCCAAAGCAGAGTGGAGGAAATGCTCTGATTGTTCTGTAAGCCGCGTGTTGGGGGGCAAAGGGAAGCTGGGTCTATGGGCAGAACTGTGGAAGATGTCTTAGTGAAAATGGCTTTAGAGTGAGGGCCTGGGGAGGGAATAGGATCTCAGTTGGCAAATGTAGTTTTTTGAGGAAGTAACCTGATCCTATATCTATTTTAGAAAGATAACTTGGGAGCACAGTGGGGTGGGGTATAGAGTTCAGTAACAAGGGCCTGAACTAGGTCAGGGACTGCAGAGACGAGAATGGATGAGAATGTCAAACCTTGTGAAGGAAGAAGGCTTAGCACTGAGATGTGAGAGAGAAAAAGCAGGGAAGCCAGGGGGCCCAGGCCTGAGGGACTGGAATGCTGGAGATGCGGCTCTGAGAGCGTAAGCAAAACAGGTACAAGCTCCAGGAAAATGTCTTGGCTAATAGATAAACATCATTTTGTTGTTGCTGTTAGAGGGAACTCAGAACAGGTGAATTGTTGGGGGCTGGGGTGATCAGAGGAAAAATAGATTGAATTTGGGGCATCTTCTCTTGATCCTTTGTTTTTCACCACGCACATCACATTTGTTGTTAAGTATAATAAGTTCATTGAGAACTTCTTGTAACGTTCAAAGGCTGTGGCTTCTACCACCAAGTGATTTGCAGTATTGCTTGTTAGCTGAAATGTTTGTAAATTATGTGGTCTGCTTGGTTCTACTTAAAAAAATAAGACAGTTGATTCTGTCTCAGAAATTTCTTTCTGGAGCAGTCAGCTGAAGATTTTTTTTCCCCATTGAGAGCCCCTATGTCTGAATTTTCCTAAGGAATCCAGACTGATTGCAGAGAGAGAAGGCTTTCAGAAGCTTGAATGTGTCACATCCTTTGTCCTTACTAGGGGAGATCTGGACCAAGTTCTATAGTGACCTTAGGTTGACAGTACAGATAGCAAAGCACACACACCTGGTAACAATAGTTTTTTTTTTTCCTTTTTCTAGATATACGCCAGCGGTTAGGAAAAAGACCACATTCTCCAGAAAAAGCTTGTAACCCCATCGTTCGGAGAGAGCCCTTTTCTGATGTACACAGCAGGCTAGGTGTTCCCAGGCAAGACACTAAAGGCCTCTATTCTGATACTCGGGAGAAGAAATCAGGTTGGTAACACTTAAAACCGACGGGGATGGGAACTGGGTAAGAGCAGGTACAATGGGCAAAGCACGGAAATACTTTGTTAGCAGAAGGCAGTAAATAGCAAATGCTAAAAATAAATTATGTTTTTTCCGTTATAATCATTGTAATAATAAGTACAACAATGATGACAACAGTAATAATGGTAACAGTATGGAAAATTTAAAAAATAGAAAGAGACTCACCCTGGTGCTTTCTGTTTAGCACAGATAGTTTTTAGTTTCATGTATGCTGCTCTTAGTCTTTGTCTATATACGTGTCCTACTTTTGCATATAGCATTTTATCGTTGTCATTTTCTACATTGTTAAACTTGTCTTTTTAAAAAAACTCTTTATAAATAAAACTCAGTTGCCTTATAGTGTGGCTATACTGTGAAATTCTAAATACATATTTCTCTATTATTAGATATTAACAAAGTATTTTTTAAATTAATGGGGGGTGGGCAGAATCTCTAAAAGTTTACAGTGTTGTAGGCCCCTCTGTTCATAGAATGTTATATCCGGGAATGATGTGGGGATGGCCCCTCCCAGCAGAATGCAGCTGTACGAAGGCTGGTGAGTCTCACCAGGCAGGGACAGGTGTAGCATAAACAGACTCCCCGGTGATTCCAAAGTGTCTAGTGTTGGGGGGTGCATGTTCCCTAGCTGTGAGGATCTCCCCTTGGGTCCAGATCCCTCTGTTTGCAGGCAGGGGATTGCAGCCAGGAAATGAGATCACCTGCCCAAGGCTACATGTGGTTGCAGGTGCCTCAGGCCTCCCCCGACCCAGGGTTTTCTGCTCATCAGGTGTTGACAGTACCTCTGCATCCTCAGTACTACCCTGCCTGTAGCACCGACTGCCAGAACTGAAATGCCTTCTCATTCAAACAGGTAGTTTATGGACTCGCTTGGGATCTGCATCCAAGACCAAAGACAAGAACGTGAAGAAAGTGGATCATAGGGCTCCTGGCACTGAGGAAGATGACTCCGAGCTGCAGAGGGCGTGGGGGGCTCTGATTAAGGAGAAAGAACAATCTCGCCAAAAGAAGAGTCGGTTAGATAATTTACCATCTCTCCAGATTGAAGTTAGTCGGGAAAGCAGCTCTGGTTCAGAGGCAGAATCCTGATGCCCTTGAGGCTGATGGCAGCTGCCCTAAAGCTTGACATTCTTGTGCAGGGTGGGGCGCACAGTAGGAACCTCCCCTGCAGGAGTCGGTGCCCCTCCTGCTTTTGCTCCTGCAGTCACCCTCAGCTCTTGCTACTTTAGCAGGACCTCTTAAGAATGTGACCTGTTCTGAAGGGCTCTGTCTTTTGCTGCAGAGTTATAGTTCTGGGCCCTCAATTTTTTCCTACCACCCCACAAGCTTTACCCTTTGAGAGGAAGGCAGCCCTCCAGAGTTTTGTAGATGTTTTTCTTAATATTTTTAACATTGTGTCTTTTAAAAGAAACGTTTTACACAGTTCATCCAAAGAGCAGAGAACTGAACTTCTCACTATTGCCTTGGCCCCGACAGCTGTTACCAGCACCCTTTTCCCAAGAAAAGTCAATTCCCAGGTGCTTATTGGACAGCCTTCAAGGGGGAAGATGAGGGAAGCTGCCAGTTCACCCTTCCAGGACCCTAGTGTGGGGGCCGAATCTCATGAACCTGACCTCAGAGGTGCACCAGTGCTGCCCAGGTAGAAAAGAAACACAGCCTTGATCGTGCTTCCGTTCCTCCCTCGGGATTTCTGTTAGGGACCTCTTGCTAGTGATCAGCTTGAAGTGAAGATCAAGTTCAGTGCTGTGGGATTTTTAGGAACAAAAAACTGACTTCTGGATTTGGGGTAGAGGTTTTTTTTTTTTTTGTGCTAGGGGTGGGGTCATGGGGTAATGTTGAACAATTTTTTAAGTTTGTATTATGTTTAAAAATATTAATGGTTTAAAAGTTAAAATTTTTAATTTTTATATGTGAAAATACTTCCTGTTGGCTAGAAGGGAAGCTCAAGTGGTGTCTAATGTGCTGTTAAATATATATTATATACTTTGGAAGAAGGCAAAGAGAGGAGTCTCATTATTTTTAAATGATCCTAATTGTATAGTCTGTTGTACATAGAGTTCAGCTTACTTTTTGGCCACTGTAGGAAACGACTCATCCATCCGAGATGGGGCTCTGTTTATCTTCACATTAGAAGTAATGCTTTGTTACTCTTTCTGTCTCCAAGTTCTGGCACCTGAAGACATCTTCAAATTGGTAAATAAGAAATAGTTACAGAAATTTTAGTTCATTTATTTTTAAACTCCTTTCAGATCATTTTAACCACAAAAAAGCAATAGATTATTTTGTTTTCCTATCTGATTTTTATTTTGAAGTACTTAATATTTGCATTCCTCTGCAGATTTAAAAATAGTGTTTCACTTCAGTTCACCAGAACTTAGGAGTTAGAGATAGAAAAGCCTTTGTCCCTTTGGTGGTGTCATAACTTGTCACCTGCCTGGAGTGTTTCAGTCCCCAGTGCAGCCCTGGATTCTGGACATCTTTACCTTGGGCTGAGTTAAACTAATGGTCACGTGGGTAGTTGATTAAACGCAGAACGCCGATGTTAATAAAGTAAAGGGCTGTGAGACTTGAAAGCTGCAAAAACTCTGTTGTCCCTGTTTTGTTGGTTAACCTGCTTTTTTCCCTTCTTTTAGAAAAATTAGAGCATATAACCGTGATATGTTTCAGCTTCCTAATAAGATTCTAGGAAAAAGATGATTTGGGTTCCTCTGCTAGTTGAGACTGAAGGTTTCTGTGGCTTCTCAGCTCCTCTTGCCCTTTGCAGCACGCCACTGAGAGCCAAGTTGTGACGAGTGAGAATTCTAAGGCCCTGAGAATCAGAGATCTGCATGCCGGTCTCTGGCTCTGCTGCATGGGCCTGGGCCTGGTTTCTCCAGCTAGCAAATCAGTGGGCTGGTACAAGAGCTTCTGGCTGTGTTGGTGGGTTTAGTGGTGTTTGCCTCTTTGCTACAGCTATAGCTACAGTGAGCTGGCCAGCGCTGGTTTCTGTTGCAGGTGGGGGAAGGGTCGAGGAGACAACTGAAGTCGTACACGAGGCTGTGGACAGGGGCTTAACCCCATCCCATTCCTGTCTCTGGGTAGGACACAAGTCTTTGTGGTCAGGGTCCCAACTGACAAGGTATCTGCAGGGTTCAGAAAATGCCTCCTCTTGGGCTCTCCTTTGGGTTCCTCAGTAGTAGCTGGGGCCCATCAGTCCCATGGCCTTGTAGTTCTCAGTAATCTCCTGCTGGAGGCCAGGGAAGACTCTGGAAGGACAGTGGTGTAGTCAAAAGTGGGTCTTTGATCTAACCAAGAAAAATGCCCATTGTACTAGTCTGGCAATTTTCATAAACACACAGAGCCCAGAAAGGTGTCTTTAAGAACTTTAAGTTGATTTCTGAAAGTTACTGGCCTTCACCTCTCTTGTTCTCCGGTCTGTACTTAGGCACTTACATTTTGCAGGATCTCAGGCGTGCCCAGCACGCCCAGGCCTTCTTTGGGGTTTGGGAGTGTGGCTGGGCAGCCGGGACAGTCCCCGGGCAGGCAGCTCGGTGTTTTACACTGGGCACTCTCCACGTATGCGCAGCGGGGCCACGCAGTCTCCGTACTCCTCTTAGTGTCTGCACGCACCAGGGTTTAAATGTGTTTTTGCTGCTTGATGATAATGAGATACCTCACTTCTACTTCCCATTCTTCCCCTCGGGAGAGGTGTCAGCTACCCACGGGAACTTGTGGAGCTCTCCGCAGGATGTCACCTCTCCTCACCTGGCCTCCTTGTCCTGTGAATCCCTCTCCTTAGTTCAGCCACTGTCTTGTCTGGCTCCATCCTTGTGGCGGCCTCTTCACTAGTCTCTGCCTCATCTCTCCCTTCCTGTTCTGCACACCGTAGCCAGGACAAACTCTTATTGGTAGCAGTTCCTTGAGATACAATATATAACATACAGTTCACCCATTTAAAGAGCAACCATCACCCCATCAGCTTTAGAACATTGTCATCACTAAAAAGAAACCTTACACCCACTTTAGTCATTTCTCACCCTCCCCCCCCCTCCCCGCAACCACTATTTCTGTGTCTGGATTTGCCTGTCCTGCACACTTCATATAAATGGTGTCATATACTTTGTGGCCACTTATGTCTGGCTTGTTTCACTGAACATGATTTCAAGGCTCTTGGTGTTGTAGCATGTATCACTACTTCATTTCTTTCCTTGCTGAGTAATCTCCCGTTGTGTGGCTGTGCCACATTTTGTTTATCCATTTACCTGGTAATGAGTTGTTTCTGCTTTTTGACTGTTACAAATAGTGCTTCTGTGAACATTTATGTATAAGTTTTTGCATGGACATGTGTTTTCATTACTCTTGGGTTATTTACCCAGGAGTGGAATTGCTGGGTCACGTTGTAACTCTCTTTTTAACTTTTTTTTTCTTTTTTAAATTTTTTTTCTTTTTTTATTGATTATGCTGTTACAGTTGTTCTATTCCCCCCTTCATCTTCATTCCCCTCCACCCTACCCCCCCATCCCCACCATTACCCCCCCTTTAGTTTATGACCATGTGTCTCAAGTCCTTTAGATTCTATATTTCCCATGCTATTCTTGCCCCCCCATCTATTTTCTATCTACTGTCTATGCTACTTATTTTCTGTACCTTCTCCCCCCATCTCCTCCTCCCACTCCCCTGTTGCTAACCCTCCTTGAGATCTTCATTTCTATGTTTCCACTCCTGATCTAGCTGTCCTTTTAGTTTGCTTTCGTTTTAGGTGTGGTTGTTAATAACTGTGAGTTTGTTGTCCTTTCACTGTTCATGTTTCTTTAACTTCTTTTTCTTAGATAAGTCATTTAACATTTCATATAATAAAGGTTTGGTGATGATGAACTCCTTGAATTTGATCTTATCTGAGAAGCACCTTATCTGTCCTTCCATTCTAAATGAAAGTTTTGCTGGATAGAGCAATCTTGGTTGTAGGTCTGGATTTCATGACTTGGAATACCTCTTTCCAGCCCCTTCTTGCCTGCAAGGTCTCTTTTGAGAAATCAGCTGACAGTCTGACGGGGACTCCTTTGTAGGTGAGTGTCCCCTTAGCTCTTGCTGCTTCTAGGATTCTCTCCTTCATTTTAATTTTGGCTAATGTAATTATGATGTGCCTTGGTGTGTTCCTTCTTGGGTCCAACTTCTTTGGGACTCTCTGAGCTTCCTGGATTTCCTGGAAGTCTATTTCCTTTGCCAGATTGGGGAAATTCTCCTTTATTATTTGTTCAAATAAGTTTTCCACTGGTGGCTGTGCCTTTCCCCCTTCTGGTACCCCTATAATTCGGATGTTGGAGCGTTTAAAGATGTCCTGGAGGTTCCTGAGACTCTCCTCATTTCTTTGAATTCTTGCTTCCTGACTCTTTTCTGTTTGGCCATTATTTGCTTTCTTCTGGTCCACTCCATTGATTTGAGTCCCAGTTTCCTTTTCATTGCTATTGGTGTCCTGTGCAATTCCATTCATTTCAATTAGTTTCGCCTTCATATATTTGTCTAATTTGTGGCTATAATCAACCAGTTCTGTGAGGATCCTGATGACCAGTGTTTTAAACTGTGCGTCTGAGAGTTTTGCTATTTCTTCATCGCTTAGATCTATGGGCTCTGGGACTTTGAGAACTTGCGACATTTTTGGTCTGTTCTGGCCCTTTAAGTGTGAGAAGTGGTGCCTTGGACTCCCAGGTCGCTGGGTTGTGACGCTGTATGTGGGGGCGTGGTCAGAGCGGGGAAATGGCGGCGCCCTCTACTGCCGCTTGCCACGGGGACGCCCACTCCCTCGCCTGTCCGCTGGCGCACAAATGGGCGGCCACAGTCAACACGCAGCACCGCTTCCCCGCTGTCTCCTTCGCGGTCGCTCGCCTGGTGGCTCGCTCGGTCGCTCACTAGGTGCAACCCTGCGCCTGGATTCCGCGCGTCCGCGCGCCTGAGTCCGTCTGACCGAGTCCTCCTGTGCAACCCCTCACCAGCCGCTGGTTTCGCCCCTTACAGGTCAGGCTGAAGAATTTGTTGTTAACAGACTTCCGAAAAGTTCAATTTTCCGTGTTCTGGCTGTGTTTTCTGTTGCTAATATTTAGTTGTCTCTAAACTTGGTTGTGTGAGAAGGCACGGTACATCCACCTATGCCTCCATCTTGGCGGAAGTCCTGGGACTCTCTCTTTAACTTTTTGAAGAGCCAGATTGTTCTCCCAAGTGGTCGCATCATCTTTCATTTCCCCCAGCAGTGTACAGGGGTTCCAATTTATTTCTGATGTAATGTGTTTTTTAAAATATTTATTTATCTTTAGCGGGGAAGGGAAGGAGAAAGAGAGAGAAATATGAATGCATGGTTGCCTCTCATGTGTCCCCTGCTGGGAACTGGCCTGCAACCCCGGCATGTGCCCTGACTGGGAATTGAACTGTGATCCTTTGGTTTGCAGGCCCACGCTCAATCCACTGAGCTACGCCAGCCAGGGCTGTTGTGTATGATTTTGATTGGCATTTCCCTAATGACTAATGATGTTGGATGTCTTTTCATGTGCTTTGGGATGAACTTTCTTAAGCAAATTATTCCTGTATCTCTTAGCTTAAGACCATTCCAGAGCTTCACCATTGTCTGCCCTTGCTGGTGTGGTTCTGTTAGAGTGTCGGCTCGTACACCAAAAGGTTGTGGGTCTGATCCCCGGTTAGGGCACATATGAGAGGCAACCGATCAACGTTTCTCTTTTATATCAATATTTCTCTGTCCTCTCCCTTTTCCTCTTTCTAAAATCAAGAAACAGTTTAAAAATTTTTAAAAAAAAGCTTCACCACTGCCCTTGGAATAAATCTCAAATTCCTTTGATAGCTCTCAAGGCTGGTGAAGATCTAGTCTCTGGCAGTGTTTCTGTCCTGTTCACCACATCCATCCCCCCGCCCTGTCGCCCTCCTGCCTAGCCTTCTCCTTTCCCTCATCCTCAGGAACTCAGACGCCCCTCTACGAGGATGTCTTCAACATCCATAGCCAGGTTGTAGGTCCCTGTCTGTGCCCCACGGAACTGCACGTAGGAGTCTCAGCTCACTACAGGGATAGGTTATAAAGTCATGCTCAAGGTAAAAACTGGACGTGATCAAAATTCCTCTTGGACACCCGGAGGCAGGTGCCGTGTTGAGACCAACATCGTGAGTACAGCGCCTTCCTGCACATGTGGGAACAGTTTCTTTGGTTGAGCACCAGGTGAAGTGGTTGGTGTGCAGTTGTGAGGGCCGTGTTGTGTAAGAAGTACTTTGCACTGGTCTGGTGTAGCCTGCTGGATTGAGCACCGGCCTATGAGCCAAAG